CCTGGAGCTGATTTCTTGGGGACCCGACTCAAGTTTAGAAAGAAAAAGAAAAATTTATCGTTTGCTCCACAGTCGTGCAATGACGGCAAAGAAATGTTTACAAAAAGTGTGATGCACGTGCAAATTTGTTGTTTTGCAAATCAAACGCCGTCGTCGTTGCTAAAGCTCTCCTATGGAAGTTGCACGCTCCGGCTTACAGGTTCCTTCCAACGTTGAAACACCCTGGACCTGGGGTTTACAATACTTGTACGTATGATGATCACGTTCCGTAAAGGAATTGCCTTTTATAAAAAATTAATAAATACTAGACTGCGAGCAGTCTCTCTTTTTCTTCAGATTTAGTGAGAGCAATGCACGCGCGCGGGAGAGACGAAGCCGCGAGACGCGCGAAACGAGGGCGGCAGCCCGAGAAGAAAAAAGAGAGTCTCTCTTTTTTCGTGCCTCTTCCGTCTCGCGCCATCAGTCACGCGCGTGGCCATTTGCGTGTCTCGCGTTTTGCTGGACGGACTACAGAAAAAAGAGAGACTGCTCGTAGTCTAAATAAATACTCTCTCGCTGAAATAGAGAGAAAAGTCGACCTTTAATGAAACCTTTCATACCTAGTAAACATTCCACTTTTTCACCTCTCTACTTGTTCAAAAAAGCTTTATGTCAAAATTCTTATTAAATAACAACGTTCTCTGTGAACTTTTTTCAAATATAAATTACTAGTGGATATACAATTGAACATTTACAAGCGAATTTAAAACACTGTACATTATTTTAAATAATTCTGCACCGTACTGTCAGCATTGCAGTAGTAATTCTCTCTTATAAAGTATTATACTAATAGATACTGTGTTTATTATTTATACTGCATTTCATTCATCTTCTATAATATTAGGGTCGGCATGCAATATTCCTATTAAATCTCGTCGCATACGTAGGTTACAGATTGAAACAATCGTTTTTCCCCTATACAAATTCTTACATTTAGAAGTTTACGCATAAGAGGCGACGCCCATATTTGAAAGCTTGGGCTACCGCTGAGATTGCTAATTGAATTAAATTTTACAATAGTTTTCTAATTTCATACAAGAATTAAATACAGATTACCTAATACAATCTACTAATACTACACTTTTCTACGAAATATTTAAAAAAGCGTATCGCAATGAAACTTGGGATGTGTCTGAAATACATCCTACTGCTTCATATTAATTTCTTTGATAAAGTTTAAATATTTATACTTTAATTAAATATCTAAATATCTCGCTTTTTGCTAAACCCTGTGAAATTTAAATTCATCATCCCTAAATCCTAAAGTATTTGTATGCATTATCCTATAACATTTTCTAACCCAATTCAAACTTTGGCAAATTAACAAGACTGTGACTTGTGCACGTCCCTGTCTTTCCAATGACTCCAAGAAAATCTTGGTAAAAAATGTCCATCAAGACTGCAACTAATACAGTTCCTTCAAGTGAGACCTATCCTATGACAAAACTTTCAACACGAGCGCAACCTAAGTTTGCAAACTAACAAAATCTTTTTAGATAAGTATCGATTCCCTGGGGTGATTGTCAACGGAGGTCTTATTTGGCAGCAGAGTTGATAGTAATGTAGTCAACTCAGGATAGCAGGAGAGAAATTCTTGAAACTCCTCTGCAAAGAAATATAAATCCTTATGTTAAATCGATGCGGAAGTAAAGGGGAGAAAAAGCTTCTATGATGGCAACCACAACTAGGCAATAGTACAAGATAAAACTGTAGTTACCTCCCTAATTATTATTTACTTATTATCTAGCCTGTTCCAGGTTCTCAGATAGTGGGGAAGACGCGAAAGTGAAGAGCACGCGAAAAGTTGGCGGGGCGGGAAAAAGGAAAAAGGGAAAAAGGTCCCTTCTCTCCCCAGTTTCCTCCCCTAAAAGTTTCGTGTTCGCGCTTCGTCAATTCAGCGGACCCGACTATCTTGGAGCCTGGAATCAGGTGATGTTTGTACTTTTCTACCGAATTAATTTGGCAATCCACGACTAGCTTTTGGGCTAACTGCGTGCCAAGAAATTGTAAGTCATAATATTAAGGTAATAAATGTCTTGTTTTTCTTGTCTAAAGCTTAGGTAAAACGGTAATCTAAGATCAGGCCCAATTTTAGCGGTTCTCATACATCCTCTCTTACGTACTCCCGCCTTGCCCGCCAGAATGTTATTTACAAAGCGAAACGAAAAGAGAGCCTGATCTCAGGTTAGAACAACGGGTAACAACAACGCACAACTTGTTGTCGCAAAACGCCCGACTTGAAAAGCGATGTTGCGCGTTTTACTACCCTCGTTCAAACCAGGTTGTTAAAACAAGGCAAACTTAAAGCAAGGGGCACACATACACCAACCCACAGCCTGGCCAGTACCTCACGCAAGCGGACAGTCATATCACCCGGGCAGTGGCAGCCATGGACAGCTGTTTCGGCTCATCAGCATGGCATAACCGTCGGGTCAATGAACGGGGATAATCCCCGTGTATCAAAGACCCCTGGTTTGTTGCAAGACAGATTTGATGATGTGGGTGGTAAAACGCACCACGTCGCTATTCAACTCGTTTTGCAGCAATGTTGCAAGATAAGTTGCACGTTTTTTTGTTGCCCGTTTAACCGTACCTTAAGCGCACACAAAGGTATGAACGTCAAATTAACCCCTGAAAATGTGGCAGTAACTTTTCAGTGCCATGCAGACATACTCACCGTTTCTGCTCCTCACATTATGGTTTTCATAGTTTGTGTTATCGATAATCTGTAAAATTCTCTTCAAAATATCTTCTATGTTGCCGTCAGGGAGGACCTGCTTGTTGTTTGGCTTGCTGTACTCCTGCAAAATCTTTGAAACATTTTGACCACGGCATAAGTTAGGTTATAATATAAATAAACCGAAACGCCATGCACATATAACAGAATATCTCGGCAAGGTATTCTCTTTTACTCTGTTCCAGGCGTTTGGATAGTGGAGTGCGTCTCGAAGCAAGAGAGCGGGAAAAAATAGCGGGGAAGGGAGAGAGAGACGGAGAGAGGAGAATCAGAATTTGGTACACCAAGAACCAGCTTTGTTAAAAAGTACTACAGGTGTTCCCTCGCTCTCACCCCCCTATCCCACCCCCTCCCTGTTTTTTTTTTTCTGCTCATATGCCGTCCCCACGATTTGAACGCGTGGAACAGGTTAATTCTCTTTCAAAAGATAGGTTAAACAATACCTTTAAAGCACTCTCAGCGATTTCCTTTTTCGCTGCTAGCCTGACCAAACAAACTGATCCTACCAAGTACTGTCGGAAGTTAATAACGCCGTTGCTCTCCTAAAAAATAGAAAAGAAAGGACATGAAGGAGGAATTCCTGGACGGCGCATTCGGCACGCAGGCTACAGTCTATAAGGAGGCAAGAATCCTCGAAGAAAGACAAACAAACCAAAAAGTTCAACCTCCTCTATTTACTATATTTCCGCGCACAATTTATAGCACTTCAGACATAAGAAGCTTCAGCCTCTTTCCCAGGGTTCTAGGTGGACGGACGATGACGAAGCCCACGTAACGCGAAACCATCCAGCGTCATAGGGAACTTTAGCAAAGACGTTTTTCAGCCACGCACGTCAACCGGAAGTGGAATGTTTTCATTCTTAGGCAATGATTTTGCCCAAATTTTTTGTCAAATCGTCTTTATGTGACTAAAGGCACTCAGCAATACAAATTTGGAAGCGTTACAGCTAATTGAAAGGAAAAAGTTGCTCACTTCCGGCTGATCTGCGTCGCTGAAAACCTCCCTTGCTTGAGCTCCCTAATGTTTCGTGATTTCGATTTGTCACGCACTCTTCAACTGTCATGCACTCTGACGTTTTGGCACGTTCACGATCTTCACGGGCGTGAGGCAAGGGGCAAACGCACCTGGGGATAAACGCAAACGCAATTAGAGGGAAAATGTTTAAACGAGTAATTACACTTGCGCTTCCATCGCAGCCGTGAACCATGCTGACGGCAAACCAACTAGTCACAAAAGCGCAATGAACGCTCGTCTACACCTTTCTCTCACAACAAACCACCTTTTCCGAACCTAACAAGAGAACGTTGTGAAAATCAAGTCCTTAATTACCCTGTCAAAGATGGAAAAGAGCTCCTTAACAGGACTAGAGATAGGTAGCTTGTAATGAAGTGCAAAATCTTGTAGAGATATTTGTCCATCTTTATCAGAATCCAGAGCTGCAAATCTCTTGAGGTGCTCTTTTACGGAATCTAAGTTCAACCTGGAGGACAATCAAATTCAACACTCTTGAGGTACAGTGAAGACACCTGAGAGATTTTACGTTTCACCTATTCTGGACTATCTCTCTCTCGTCTCTGACTATTAATCAGTCGGATTACCATCGGCAGACGGATTCTCAAACTACTAGTTTATTAATTAGAAATGTGTCACATAATCTTGTACTCAGCTTCCGGAAAGCTACAATATTAGGTCCTTTGAATGCCAGTTTGGTCCTGCACTTTCTTTGATATTAATTTTTATACGTTCTGGCACAGAATCCACACCAAAATAATGAAGAAGAGTCTTAAAAAACCAATAGCCTGCGAAAGTTAGAGCGAAAAAAGGGAAAGAAGGAGGAGTGGGAGATATTCTCCCCTCCTTCTCCATCCTTGTTCGCTCTCATTCTAACTTTCTCGACGCATCGCAAGCTATAATACCGAGTTAACCGACGGTCTATCGTCTAGCTGTATGCAAGGCAAAAACTTAAGGTTTTCAAAAATGCTGATGTCGTGGCATTTTTTTTAGTTATATCTCTAACCAAAAATAAACGGGACGTATTCTCTGCTAGTAGGGAAAGATGGCCATGTCGATTACAGCCCTGAAGTGAGTGGACCCCGTGCGCGTAGTGGGTGGCCAGCAAGGATCGCCGCGTGCTTTATAGACCTTATATCATTGAAGTAATGAGCTAAACTGACAAAAGTAGCATTAATAATAATCATTGCAATTTAAGTTAACTATACTGTGCCCTTCTCCATTCCTGATTTTCGCTTAATATATTTCTTCTTTATTTGTCTTCTTTTTATGCATTCATGAACCAGAAAAAAAAATTACCCTAGCTTTGTTGCAGTTTTCGTGAACTCTATGACACCTGTTTCAGGTGGAAGACCGTGTTTGGTAGCTGCAGCCATCAGAAGGGTGTCCTCAAATGAGTGGCCTGTCACAGGAACATTTAAACACCTACGAAAAAAGATACAGTCCAACCTCTTTCGCGTGTTGGTTCATCTTCCAAATAAGGTCATCGTTACAACACGATCACCGCAGACCGCAACCTACTGGATACTGGCCCGTTCTGTTCCCCTTCTCTGCAAGTGGGCCAAAATTTACTCGTTTTTTACCCCAGATGAAACCCCCAAATATATATCGCACCCAGGACTTAAGATGAGTCTTTTGTGCCCTTTAAAATATTGTACCTTTTTCTAGAGACATTCGAGCCGTTTTTAGTGGAGAGATGAATAGTATGCTACACAGCCGTTTGGTGTTGTCACACAACGCTCCCTCTTGAAGGATGAATTCGCGCGTTTTTTTTCAAACCCTGTTGAGTTTATTCCAATTTACTGAAAATGTCAAATGTAGGCGAATTTCCCTGGAGTTGATTTCTTGGGGACCGGACTGAAATTTAGAAAGAGAAAGAAAAATTGGTCGTTTGCTCCATAGTCGTGCAGTGACGGCAAAGAAATGTTCACAAAAGTGTGATGCACGTGCAAATTTGTTGTTTTGCAAATCAAACGCCGTCTTTGCTAAAGCTCCCTTATGGAAGTTGCACGCTCCGGCTTAAAGGTTCCTTCCAACGTTGAAACACCCTGGACCTGGGCTTTACAATAGTTGTACGTATGATGATCACGTTCCGTAAAGGAATTCCCTTTTATAAAAAATAATAAATACTAGACTGCGAGCAGTCTCTCTTTTTCTTCAGATTTAGTGAGGGCAATGCACGCGCGCGGGAGAGACGAAGCCGCGAGACGCGCGAAACGAGGGCGGCAGCCCGAGAAGAAAAAAGAGAGTCTCTCTTTTTTCGTGCCTCTCCCGTCTCACGCCATCAGTCACGCGCGTGGCCATTTGCGTGTCTCGCGTTTTGCTGGACAGACTGCAGAAATAGAGAGAAAAGTCGACCTTTAATGAAACCTTTCATACCTAGTAAACATTCCACTTTTTCACCTCTCTACTTGTTCAAAAAAGCTTTATGTCAAAATTCTTATTAAATAACAACGTTCTCTGTGAACTTTTTCAAATATGAATTACTAGTGGATATACAATTGAACATTTACAAGCGAATTTAAAACACTGTACATTATTTTAAATAATTCTGCACCGTACTGTCAGCATTGCAGTAGTAATTCTCTCTTATAAAGTACTATATTAATAGATACTGTGTTTATTATTTATACTGCATTTCATTCATCTTCTATCATATTAGGGTCGGCATGCACTGTTCCTATTAAATCTCGTCGCATACGTAGGTTACAGATTGAAACAATCGTTTTTCCCCTATACAAATTCTTACATTTAGAAGTTTACACATAAGAGGCGACGCCCATATTTGAAAGCTTAGGTTACCGCTGACATTGCTAATTGAATTAAATTTTACAATAGTTTTCTAATTTCATACAAGAATTAAATACAGATTACCTAATACAATCTACTAATACTACACTTTTCTACGAAATATTTAAAAAAGCGTATCGCAATGAAACTTGGGATGTGTCTGAAATACATCCTACTGCTTCATATTAATTTCTTTGATAAAGTTTAAATATTTATACTTTAATTAAATATCTAAATATCTCGCTTTTTGCTAAACCCTGTGAAATTTAAATTCATCATCCCTAAATCCTAAAGTATTTGTATGCATTATCCTATAACATTTTCTAACCCAATTCAAACTTTGGCAAATTAACAAGACTGTGACTTGTGCACGTCCCTGTCTTTCCAATGACTCCAAGAAAATCTTGGTAAAAAATGTCCATCAAGACTGCAACTAATACAGTTCCTTCAAGTGAGACCTATCCTATGACAAAACTTTCAACACGAGCGCAACCTAAGTTTGCAAACTAACAAAATCTTTTTAGATAAGTATCGATTCCCTGGGGTGATTGTCAACGGAGGTCTTATTTGGCAGCAGAGTTGATAGTAATGTAGTCAACTCAGGATAGCAGGAGAGAAATTCTTGAAACTCCTCTGCAAAGAAATATAAATCCTTATGTTAAATCGATGCGGAAGTAAAGGGGAGAAAAAGCTTCTATGATGGCAACCACAACTAGGCAATAGTACAAGATAAAACTGTAGTTACCTCCCTAATTATTATTTACTTATTATCTAGCCTGTTCCAGGTTCTCAGATAGTGGGGAAGACGCGAAAGTGAAGAGCACGCGAAAAGTTGGCGGGGCGGGAAAAAGGAAAAAGGGAAAAAGGTCCCTTCTCTCCCCAGTTTCCTCCCCTAAAAGTTTCGTGTTCGCGCTTCGTCAATTCAGCGGACCCGACTATCTTGGAGCCTGGAATCAGGTGATGTTTGTACTTTTCTACCGAATTAATTTGGCAATCCACGACTAGCTTTTGGGCTAACTGCGTGCCAAGAAATTGTAAGTCATAATATTAAGGTAATAAATGTCTTGTTTTTCTTGTCTAAAGCTTAGGTAAAACGGTAATCTAAGATCAGGCCCAATTTTAGCGGTTCTCATACATCCTCTCTTACGTACTCCCGCCTTGCCCGCCAGAATGTTATTTACAAAGCGAAACGAAAAGAGAGCCTGATCTCAGGTTAGAACAACGGGTAACAACAACGCACAACTTGTTGTCGCAAAACGCCCGACTTGAAAAGCGATGTTGCGCGTTTTACTACCCTCGTTCAAACCAGGTTGTTAAAACAAGGCAAACTTAAAGCAAGGGGCACACATACACCAACCCACAGCCTGGCCAGTACCTCACGCAAGCGGACAGTCATATCACCCGGGCAGTGGCAGCCATGGACAGCTGTTTCGGCTCATCAGCATGGCATAACCGTCGGGTCAATGAACGGGGATAATCCCCGTGTATCAAAGACCCCTGGTTTGTTGCAAGACAGATTTGATGATGTGGGTGGTAAAACGCACCACGTCGCTATTCAACTCGTTTTGCAGCAATGTTGCAAGATAAGTTGCACGTTTTTTTGTTGCCCGTTTAACCGTACCTTAAGCGCACACAAAGGTATGAACGTCAAATTAACCCCTGAAAATGTGGCAGTAACTTTTCAGTGCCATGCAGACATACTCACCGTTTCTGCTCCTCACATTATGGTTTTCATAGTTTGTGTTATCGATAATCTGTAAAATTCTCTTCAAAATATCTTCTATGTTGCCGTCAGGGAGGACCTGCTTGTTGTTTGGCTTGCTGTACTCCTGCAAAATCTTTGAAACATTTTGACCACGGCATAAGTTAGGTTATAATATAAATAAACCGAAACGCCATGCACATATAACAGAATATCTCGGCAAGGTATTCTCTTTTACTCTGTTCCAGGCGTTTGGATAGTGGAGTGCGTCTCGAAGCAAGAGAGCGGGAAAAAATAGCGGGGAAGGGAGAGAGAGACGGAGAGAGGAGAATCAGAATTTGGTACACCAAGAACGAGCTTTGTTAAAAAGTACTACAGGTGTTCCCTCGCTCTCACCCCCCTATCCCACCCCCTCCCTGTTTTTTTTTTTCTGCTCATATGCCGTCCCCACGATTTGAACGCGTGGAACAGGTTAATTCTCTTTCAAAAGATAGGTTAAACAATACCTTTAAAGCACTCTCAGCGATTTCCTTTTTCGCTGCTAGCCTGACCAAACAAACTGATCCTACCAAGTACTGTCGGAAGTTAATAACGCCGTTGCTCTCCTAAAAAATAGAAAAGAAAGGACATGAAGGAGGAATTCCTGGACGGCGCATTCGGCACGCAGGCTACAGTCTATAAGGAGGCAAGAATCCTCGAAGAAAGACAAACAAACCAAAAAGTTCAACCTCCTCTATTTACTATATTTCCGCGCACAATTTATAGCACTTCAGACATCAGAAGCTACAGCCTCTTTCCCAGGGTTCTAGGTGGACGGACGATGACGAAGTCCACGTAACGCGAAACCATCCAGCGTCATGGGGAACTTTAGCAAAGACGTTTTTGAGCGATGCACGTCAACCGGAAGTGGAATGTTTTCATTCTTAGGCAATGATTTTGCCCAAATATTTTGTCAAATCGTCTTTACGAGACTAAAGACACTCAGCAATACAAATTTGGAAACGTTATGGCAAATTGAAAGTTGCTCACTTCCGGCTGATGTGCGTCGCTGAGAAGCGCCCTTGCTTGAGCTCCCTAATGTTTCGTGATTTCGATTTGTCACGCACTCTGACTTTTTGGCACGTTCACGATCTTCACGCGCGTGAAGCAAGGGGGAAACGCACCTTGGGATAAACGCAAACGCAATTAGAGGGAAAATGTTTAAACGAGTAATTACACTTGCGCTTCCATCGTAGCCGTGAACCATGCTGACACAAAACACCACCTTTTCCGAACCTAATAAGAGAACGTTGTGAAAATCAAGTCCTTAATTACCCTGTCAAAGATGGAAAAGAGCTCCTTAACAGGACTAGAGATAGGTAGCTTGTAATGAAGTGCAAAATCTTGTAGAGATATTTGCCCATCTTTATCAGAATCCAGAGCTGCAAATCTCTTGAGGTGCTCTTTTACGGAATCTAAGTTCAACCTGGAGGACAATCAAATTCAACACTCTTGAGGTACAGTGAAGACACCTGAGAGATTTTAAGTTTCACCTATTCTGGACTATCAATAGTCTCTGACTATTAATAAGTCGTATTACCATCGGCAGATGGATTCTCAAACTACTAGTTTATTAATTAGAAATGTGTCACATAATCTTGTACTCAGCTTCCGGCAAGATTACAATGTTAGGTCCTTTGAATTCCAGTTTGGTCCTGCACTTTCTTTAATATTAAATTTTTATACGTACTGGCACAGAATCCGTACCAAAATAATGAAGAAGAGTCTTACAAACCCACAGCCTGCGAAAATTGGAGCGAAAAAAAAGGGAAGAGGGGGTAGTGGGAGATATTCTCCACTCCCTCTTCATCCCACTTGTTCGCTCTCATCCCAACTTTCTCGACGCAGCGCAAGCTAGAACACCGAGTTAACCGACGGTCTATCGTCTAGCTGTATGCAAGAAAA